CAGCTTTAAGGATTTTAAAGGACCACAGGCTTGCAGTGACGTGCTGGCGTCCACGTGTGGCTGACAAGCACCGCTCCTGACACCTGAGCACCCCTGGCGGGGCCATGGCCTCCTGCCCCGGGTGAGGCGTGTTCAGGAACAGCCTGCGGAAGGGAGGCGGGCCTTCCGCTCACGCACGCGTGCAGACGTTTCCACGGCTGCGCCCGCACGTCCCGCCTGTCGGGGGAGGGAGCCCGGGTCCTGCAGGCGCTTTGCAGGAAGGCGATGAGCAGGCGTCTCCGCTGGGGTTCATGCTCCCGGGGGCGGAAGCCACGCACAGTGCCCTCTGGTCCCCTCCGGGTCCTGCTCGGCTGCCTCCGTCAATGCTGCCCGCGGCACAGCCCAATGAAGCCGGTGACCTGTTTCTGTTTTTAAATGTTTAACGTACTCTGACAGATAAAGTGGATCGTAGTAAATAAATGATCTGAAACCTATGTCTTTCTTTGAAATGAGAACCTGGCCTTGACTATGGTCCTTCGAGAGAAAGGAGGGCTGCTTCCATCAGGGGCGCCCTGCGTGCCGGCTCGGTGGAGGCACCAAGCGCATTCCGGCCTCGGATGGCTGGGCGGGGGCGGTCCAGGCAGGGAGACGCTCGCACCGGGGCCCAGTCCCCACGCGGCCTCCTCAGGCTGGCTCGCCCAACACCGGGGCCGTCGCCGTGGGGCTGCCTGGCGCAGGTGCGCGGGCCCCGATGCGGGCGGAGATGGCAAGTGCGAGCCACATGCTGCGGCCGCCTCCCTCCGCGTGGTTTATTAGGGTCCAGGCTGCGCTCCCAAGGGACTCAGACTCCCAAGTGTCCTGGCCCCACTAGGCTGGCCATTCCCGGCTGACGTTGCAGGTGAGGTTGTCCCTCGTCACAGGCGCGTCCCCTCCAGGGGTTCCTCCTCAGGCCCCCCGGGCACTTCCCAGAGACCTTGAGCATCACAGCTGGGCAGGGGTTGGGCTACCACCAGATGGTGGGCAGAGGTCAAGGGCGCCACACGTCAGGTAGAGTCCAGGACTGCCATCTCGCCCAGTGGGTGGCCGCCAGTGCCCCGCGTGCCATGGTGGATGGAGCAGCCCCGGAGGGGCTTGCCTCTAGCGGGGGCCCTCGGAGGCTGCCACTCGCCCCCCGTGGCCTGCCATGCCCCTCTCTGCCATGGAGCACCCCAAGGATGCTGTGGGGTACAGGCCCCCAATAGCCGGAAGCTGCGGAGCTGGAGACCAGTTTGGAAAGCTGAGGACTCTGCCTCGCTGTCCCAGGATGCACATGAGAAGCAGGGAAGGTTCTGGCCCCCGTGGACCGGGCAGTCCGTGGGGCCAGGGGGCACAAAAGAGAGAGAGCATTCGTCCCTAGTGTCCTATGGTATCACCGTTTCATTATTTTAATGACTCACCGTACATCAACTTTGTATCAGAAATTTAAACAGTAACTTTTGATCCTTGGGAAATAAAAAACATTTCAGCTCAAAAGACAAGACCTCAGAACCCACTATATTAAAATAAATTTCATTTTTTGCTTCTTTGTTGGTGAGGCCTTGGGCCCTGTGCCTAGAAGGCAGTGCAGGTGACAGCGTCCGCCTTCCCCGATAGTCATGCAGATAACGCGGTGGCCGGAGTGTGGTCAGCGCCGTCGCTCGCTGAGCTGGGAGCATTGCGGGAGAGGAGCAGCGCGGAGCCAGAGCATTGGTGCGCGGTGACTTCCCAGGCTGCGCCGAACCTTCCCCTGTGAGGGTCGAGGGTCAAGGTGGCCCTGCCCAGTTAAAGGCTCACGTGGCCCCTCGTGTCCCCGGGACAGGGGCAGTATGCCAACAAGGAAACCATCTCCCACTGTGCTGGGGAGATGATTCATCCTGCTCTGTCCATGGGAGCCTTTGCTGAAGCCTTTTTACCTGTCCAGGTAACACGCTCCACCTGCTTGTTACCGGGGCTGGACACAGAAGCGTCGGAAACCATGGAGCTCGCCCTCCCCTCCCTCCTTCAACAGCTGGTGCACCTTTACATTTTTTCTTTCTAAACAATACAACTAGTTTTTGTTACAAAAGATTCTAAAAGAAGTAGACGTGATGCCCTCGGCCCACATGCAGGCCCTCGCCGGCCTGGTATGGACCCTTCGGTGCCGTGCGCGGCCCGCTCGCCCATGGGCTCCGCGGGTCCTCATTACGGGGGAGGCAGCGGCACTGGGGACGTGGCGCTTCCCACACACAGCTTTTCCATCTCTCCCCCGAGGATGGGACCATGTTCCGTGTGTGGGTCTGAGTCTCGCATCTTTAAAATCACAGCCCCTGGCATCTGTCCCTGTCATTGCTTATAAAGGGCTGGTCTTTTCACAGCTGCGTGGGGTCCTCGAATATGGGCACGCGGTTCTCACTTTGCTTGATGTGTCCCTTATGTTGGGTGTATGAGGACCCAGGACAGGCCGTGGCAGTGCACGTGGGCTGCCTGGGCCTGCCGTGGGGCCCAGGCCCCTTCCGTCGCACAGGTCTGCTGTCCCTCTGCTCCTGTCCTCCACGCGGCCGAAGGCGGCCTGCCATGTCCACGTTCCCTCCAGGGGGAAGGAAAGATGGAAGGCATGAGCCTAGGGCAGCACTGCCTCTGACTCTGCCCCACTGGACAGAATTGGGCAGCAAGATCAGACTTCGGTGCGGAGAAGCTGGGACACGTGCTGCCTAAGACTTCTGCTGACACTGAGGAGGGAGAAATAGGTATGAGACTGGGAGTCTCTCCCGCAGGGGCGTGGAGATGGCGTGCAGCTTCCTGTGAGTCAGCTGTCTCTGCACGTGCATCTCCAGATACCAACCTGAGTACGTCTGTAGGATGGACGTTTAGTGTTTACAAGTATGGCCAGGTTGCCTTCCAGAGAAGCTTCCTTAGTTCACGTCCCTCCGAGGATGAACCAGCCTCCCCTCTCCCCCCCGAACAGATCCTTGTCGACATGGATTACTCATCTTTCATATTTCTTTCCAGGTTGCTGGACGAAAGTAGGTAGGTGGGTGGGTAGGTAGGTGGATGGATGATTCTCATTGTAATTTGTATTTTCGTGATCGATGGAGACTGTGGAACTCATTTCGTGATCATCCATCCTTCGCTTCTGTGGATTGCCTCTTTGTATCTTGTTTGTTTCTTGTTATTTTGTGTTTTGTTGATCTGAAACAACAGTTTACATACACATTCTAAATATAAACACACACACACCCCTGCCCCGGTCACGTATGTCATACCTACTTTATCCTTAAATTTCTTGTCACTGGTATGTGTTTTTATCCAAATTATATCATTTTTATGCTCTTACATTTTTCATTAAGGCTTCTAGGTTTCGGGACTTTTTAAAGAAGACCTTTCTTACACCAAAATAAATAAATCATCTATTCTCCTTTTATTTTTAGTTTTAAAAATCTATCCTGATGTTTTGTGTGTAGGTCTCAGATAGCACTGAGGAGTGGTTCAGTGTTACCATATCACTTACTGAATCATTCATTCTCTCTTCACTGCTTTAAAATGCCACTTTCATTACAATTACACACGTGGGTCGCTTCATGGACTTTCCTGGTTTTTTTTGTCTGTCTCACCCTCCCTTGTTCCGTCCTGTAATTACTGTGGAGTTGCAGTATACTTAACATAGGTAGTGCGAGTCCTCCCCATTGTTCTTTATTAAAAAATTATTATTTTTTTGCTATTCTGGTGCCTCTCTCTTCCGCACTAACTATAGAACCAGCTGGCCAAACTCCATTAAACCTGCTGGTGTCGTGATGGGCTCGCGTCCACTTTGTAGCTTCATCACAGAAGAGACGACATCTTTAGAATTTTTCGCTGGCTTTATACGGAGAGCACCTCCCCACATGTCCTCGTGCACGGTGCAGTGGTGACAGACAGGCCACCAAACGAGGACGGTTCATTTTTTTTGTTCAGCAGCATGAAATGGCACAGCCTGGGGAGAGGGTGGTGCCTCCTCAGGGGATGGCCACAGGCCCACGCACCCCTGTGTCATCCACACAGCCTTATCCCTTCTGGGGGGTGACTCACCCCTGACGTGTTGCTGTGCATGCGGAGAAGGCCTCTGCCACCCGGTGCCCTGACGACAGACGTCCCCGGGCTGGTTCAGGCCTCCGTCGTCTGGCCCTTTCCGCTGCTGCCTTGCAGACGGTCCGGTCGGCAGCCGGAACAGCCCCCTTCGCTGTGAGGGACGGTCGGCTTCTGCCAGTTCCACCTCTGTGGGAGCTCGCAGGAGAGTGAGGAGGCCATGCTTTCAGTGCAGAATTGCTTAAAAATGTCCCCTGTGGGCAAGCGCCGGCAGGCTCCCTAGGACGCGAAGGGCGCCTTCCATGTCCCCAGAACGTCCAAGTGTCTCAGCACTGACGTGCAGTGTGTCAGGAAGGACGCACACCGCTCCACGCGTTTGTGTTCGTAGGTCGCTGTTCTGTGATTCGAAAAAGAGCTACAGGGCCAGGGTGATGCTCCCTGGGTGCACACGTCTGGGTTTTTAATGACGTGCTCTGGGTGTCCACGGGAGGAGGGGACCAGGGGACGTGCAGGCGCTCTTTGGAGCTCCTCTGTGAGCGGGATGCGTGGCGTTGTGTGACCCTGGGGAGGTTACAGAGCCAGCTGGGAGCTGCACATCCTTTGCGTTGGTGGGCGAAAGCCGTGCTTTGGTTGCAGGGGCGGGAGGCCCTGCGGTGGCCCGCGGGAGGGATAGCCCGCAGCAGCGGGAGTGAGCTGCTCCAGGAGGCAGCGAGCCGCTGGCCAGGGCGACAAGCGCAGAGCAGCTTTGAGGCTGGGGATCGAACTGGGACAGCCCTCCAGGACTGGCCATCCTGGGTCAGGCGGCACGTGGGCAGGTGGTGGTTAGGACAGCGTGTGCACCACAGCTCAGGGGCTCCCGCAGCCAGGCTCCCGCTGGACCCGCCCCTCCCCGCAGGCAGCGCTGCGGGTGGCACACCCTCCTGGGTCCCAGGAGTAAACGCGCACACTGTCTTGTCTTCCAGAACTACACCCAGTACATCCCTCTGTCTGTCTACGACCTGCAGACGTGGATGGGCAGCCCGTCCATATTCGTCTACGACTGCTCCAACGCCGGCCTCATCGTCAAGTCCTTCAAGCAGTTCGCCTTGCAGAGGGAGCAGGAGCTGGAGGTGAGGCTCCCCAGTGCCCACAGGGCTGCGCTTCGTGTCCCCCAGGGTGCCGGACCCCCGTGCTGCTCCCTCCCTTTCCCTGGGTGGAGCTTCGTCAGGTGCCGTGGTGGTCGAGGCAGAGGACCCGAGAAGCCCTCGGGGCAGGCGGGCGGGCTGCTGCTTCCTCTCACTTCACTCGTGTCATTTCTAATCTGAGCGTTAATGAACTGACGACGTTAACAGGTTATTTGTGCTCTGGTGGCCTGTTGAAATGAAGCAGACACATTTATTTTAGGCGCATTGGCCCCATATCTGGGCACAGTCTTTCGTTTCACTGCCATCTCTGTAACTGCCCCAATTTCATTTCCTTTTGTGTTTCAAAATAATAACAACAAAACTCAACTAAATAACAACTAAGCCAAACACAGGAGACAAACCGAAACGGTGCCACCGTTAGTGTCCGTGTCAGGAGCTAGAGACCAGTGTGGTGCTCTGATCACGAGGAGGCCTCCGACTTGGTTGTTCTAGTTAATATTTGATGTTTGAGTAAACGGTGCATTCTAAAGAGAAACCGCAGAGGCAGCTTCAGTTGCGAGGCCTCCGTCCCGTGGGCTGCACGGGAGTGGGGGGTAAACCCCCCGCAGCCCGAGGGGCTCACGACTCTCAGTGTAGAGGCACAAACGGCCCTGAGCACGCGTGTCCTCAAGCCGCACCGGGCCCTCCAGCGCGCGTGTGTCGGCATGGGTTTCACGTTTCATCAGCAGGCATTGCTGTCATGCGGTGTAACGTTTTATATTTATAAACTAAGTCCTTATACAGGACATTGCATGAGAGTGACTGATGAATAAGCCCTTTGCTCTTGAAAATGGAATCAAGTGCCACGAGTTATTATTATCACTGTTTTCGCGTTCTGTAATAAGAGGAGGGGAAGATCGAGTTTTGCGCTGTCAAATTTATACCTTGCTTTTAGGCATTTCACGTACGTTTACCCAAGGGATAGGTTATCTAATGAGCACTAAGAAACTCAAAGCACCAAGAGGTAATTTGCTTTTCCTCGCATCAGATAATAAATATTGCAAAAGAATTTTTTTTTTTTTTTTACATTTCTAATGTGTAAATAAAAACGCCAAAGAATCCTGCTGGATTTTTACACCCGATTTATGAGCTTCTGGGTGTGTGAGGGAAGACCAGAACACCAGCCTTACTTAATGAAGACGCCTTAGATGCGGCCCCTCACCCCCAGTTCCGGCAGAAGGCAAGCGTTTCTGTCTCATGCCTGCGGCTGACTGTTACTTCTCAGCTCGTCGAGGATCTGCTCCATTGGCATGTCATGTGCTCTCGCCATGTTGCCAAGGATTAATCAGCCCGAGAAGCTGTTCATTTCACAGAGTGCGACAAAAAAGAGAGATCAAATGCAAAATATGTGATCTGAAGGGTTACGTAGACGGCAATGCAAAATTATACCATCTGTCTTATCATTAGCTCTGCCTTTATCTTCTTTATTTTTAAATTACAGTGTAGATAGTCTTGCGTTTTTCCGTCACACTTACTATTATTGGCTGCTGTTCAGGCCTCTTGCATAAACAGCGGAAATTAAAATGATAAAATTGGCTCCCAGCTAAATCTTACTGCTCACGTTAGTCGTTTTATTATCTGTGTGGATACAGCAATCCTTTGTGGCCTCTTAGGTTTACTTTTGAAAAACATTTTCCCTCTCTACAGTGGCCAGATTCTTTGTAAATTTACAACATGCTTTAACACTTCTGTGGAGTAGGTGATAACATGTGAGCTGACAGAAGTTGACAGTTGAATTGTTTGCACCGGGGTTTGAAAAATAAAGGGCAAAAAACTGATTGAATATGATGCAGGAAAGTGGTTGCTTGGACCAAGAAGCATCCAGGTAACGGACCTCACCGGGACTAGGAGTGCATCCGTTTTAAGAGACGACCGGCAGCGTCCACGTCCTCAGGTGCCCGGGGTGTGGGGCGCGTGCGGGCCAGGCGGTCCCGCCATGGACCCAGGTCTCGGAGCGGTCCTGCAGGTGGAGGACAAGGCGCCTGCGGGGAGGCAGCATGCCTGTCACGCACGGAGGACCCTGCGTCATGGCTGCGATCCGCCTGTCTGTCACTCAGCCGTCCTCTCTGCACGTTCCACTGTGTCACGGTGCTTGGTAATTTGAAAATTAAGGGAAGTCTTCAAATTCCTCTGCTTTCGGTGTTCTTTCTAGGAGAAATGTTTTTATTTTTATCAAATGAGCACGTGCCACGATTCTAAAAATCCAGTAGTGCAGCGGGCTTGTAGTGAATGGCACAGGGCGCCCCCACGCCCGCCCGCTCCGCAGGGGTTCTGCTCCGGCGCCTCCACTGAGCGTTTCTGGAAGCGTGAGTGACGTGCTTGCACCGTTCCACCTTGGCTCACGAGCTTCAGGCCATCTGTGGGCTTCCCGCTGATGTCCAGGCCATCCAGGGCTGCCCTTAGTACGTCCCGCTTAGAGAGTCGGAGAAAGCGTGTGGGACTCTGACAGCGAGGGGGCGCGCTGCCTGGTTGTTTTAAATTGAGTGTGTTGTTGGCGTCAAAGGGTGAACTCTCGAGGGCGACTGAAGAGGGCGGGTCACAGCCACCCCTCCCCCGTCCCACGGCCACTCAGTCAGGTCCCTGCTGGGATTTTCGTCATCGCAGTCTTCAGTAATCCCGCCTGTTCTTAGTTCTGGTTTCGTCAGCACTCAGCGCTGTCTTGGTTTTCAGGCTCCCAGCTTCCCTGTGCTCTGTTTCGCCGCTGGCCCCCGTCACCAGCCGCGCCTGCTCTGCCGCTTGTGTCCGGTCTCTGCAGAATCGAGCCCCGTGCCTCGTGCGTGGGTCACTTCTAAGAAACGACAAGGCCTGAACTCAATGACGGCCAGTCGGTCTCGCTCACCGATGGCCGAGTAGGCCGCTGCCATCCCCATCCCCGTAACAGCTTTGTCTGTCTCTGTGCTTTCCTGGAGATTGCCTGTCCTCTTGAACTGGATCCCTAACATTCCCTCCGTTTCCGAGTGTGCGGGGGCGGCATCGGCTCGCAGAGTGAGCCCGAGCCCCAGCCCCAGCCCCAGCCGCAGCCGCAGCCCCAGCCCCTCCGGCCCGCTGTCGCTGCCTCCTGCAGACGGCTGTTCTGTGCTGTCCTGGGCGGCCCTGTCCCGCTCTCCTGGATGCACCCACGTTTCCAGACCCCCCTGCTCCCCCTCTGGTTTCCTCCTTCGTTCTGCTAGGCAGACCCCCAAGTCTCAACCTCAAGAAAGGATGGACGGGAGCAACTTTTCTCAGGCCCTGAGTGTTTGCATTTGGAGAGCTTTCAGCTGTGAGGAATGAAGACTCTTGGTTTCTAAACAAACAACAGTTTATCTTTTCGCCAAGGTCTTTGAGGCAGATGATGGACTTTTTTGGCAGTGCCCTTGGGGATCCCCCACCCTCAGTGTCCTTAACCGCTCGGTGCCCACCCTAGCTCCAGGCACCTCGTTGTCGCAGAGGCAGGATGAGGATGGGCGGGGCAGTGCTGGCCGTCAGTGTCTTCCCAGGAACGCAGATGCAGGCTTGCCTCACGTCGGATGAGATGGGCTAGCGTCAGGCCACGTGGCCACCCACCTGTAGCGGGGGCGGTGGCAGAATGGACCACACTTGGGAGAGTGCGTTGGGTCATGTGATGAGTGTCAGGCAGACCTGTGTGTGGAGTGTCTCGTTCCCGCCACGTGCATCACTGCTGGGTTGGGCATGGGATTTCAGGCTGTTTTCTCTTTCTGGCTCTTCATGGGGAGCAGCCGCTCGAGACATCCACCCCTCGGCCTCGCTGTGGCTGGGTCTAAGGGAGCAGGACCGCCACCCTTCGGCTAAAAGCCACGGGAGGAGCTTTGATGCTCGTAATACAGACTGCATGTTGAGAGTTGGAGAGAGAGAAACAGGATTCAAAGGTTTTTAGCAACGGCTTTGATCTCAGATATGAAGTCTTTGGTCTGTCTCTGGAAAGGAAGCGGACTCTTAAGCAGAGGGTTTGAGAGGCATTATTAAGGTTTTCCTGTTGGCTCTGCTCCCAGCGGGTCCCCCGGTTGGTCCCCGCCCTTTCTCTCCCAAGAGACGCAGGCACGACTTCACCCTTTCCTGGAGGCCAGCGAGCTGCTGCTGCTGGTGGCAGCAGTAATGCCCTTCCTTACGGGACCATGTTCCCGCGCCTCGGTGCCCGTGCTGAGCTCAGCATCCCCGGAGCAGCACGGGCAGCGGCAGGATGAGAACGGCCCCCAGCAGGGCGGTCCCCTCAGGCCGGGGACTCGCTCTCAGACAAGCAGTCCTCGTCCACTCAGCTCCCGGGTTGTAACTGAGATGGTCCGTAAACGCCCCCTGAGCGTGGAACCCTCCACGACCTTGGCGGGCAGTTTTTACGCACTCACTTCACGTCCTGTCTCATAATACCTCTTCTTCCCGTGTCATCCGCTCTCGTGAATCCGCTGTGGAAGCCGGTCAGGGAGGCCTCATCGGGGGTGACGCTCAGAAAATATCTACAGATTTGGTCCGATTAATAAACGCGCATCTGAGTAAACTGCCTTTACTCATCTTCTTTAGGTGTATCTGTGATTTACTGAACTTGTTTGATCTTTGATTGATTTGTATGAAATGTAAAAAGAAACAAAGAAAAAATTGTTAACCCAAATTCAGGAATATGAGACACCTATTTGCTGCCATTGTAAAACTGAGGGCTTCTTCAAAGTTAAATCTTAGAGTTTAATTCTTTTTTCTAATTTCATCTCTTTAAAAATATGCCAGAAATTGCTTAATATTCTGGGCACAGGTCATGGCCACCGCCATGGGGTGTGGTGCAGGGTGACCCTCTCCTTAGCCTTGCTTGCTGTCACAGGAGGGTCCCCCCGAGGCTGAGAGACTTCAGCCTCCCCCAGGCCGAGGCTAGAGGACACTGAGGTAGTGGCCAGATGTTCCCTCACGAAGACTCTGGTGGCACAAGGCAGCAGAGCGCCCGGCATCAGCCAGGAAGCAGCTGC